TTTTTTAAAAAAAAAAAAAAAAAAAAAAAAAAAAAAAACCCAAAAAATAACACACACACAAAACACACACCTGCAAATCTTTATCTTTGGTCAGATTTACCACACGTTGGAAGCTTTGAAATTTGGGTCCAGTGGGAAAGAGGAGCATGTCACACCCCCCCCCCCTTCAGTTTGGATTCTGTAACGGACAATAGCCTTTGGGGGAGGTATTTTAATTTTTCTTTCAGGATAATAGTCAGGAAAGCTGTAACGGCCTCAGACATAGGTGGAGGCTAATTGATTTCTTTAATTTGTTTAATTCTGCAAAGTCTGTGGGGGAAATCTATAGCGACTGTGGCAGACAGGTATGGGCCGTGTGTGTGTGTGTGTGTGTGTTTGTTTCTGATTTTCTGAGTCTTAACAAAGAAGATGAGACCACAGCGCCAGGAGAGGAGAGAGGGACGAGATGTTGGCGCGCTGGTGAGGGCATGGTTACAGGACCAGCTTCCTCGGATATGCCCTGAAAATACACCTGATGTATTTCCAATAATCGAGTAAACCGCCTGCCCAGGCCTCAAAGAAAGATTGTTTTGTTTTGTTTTTAACCACTCCCTTTATTTGTTCGACCTTGCGGCACTCCACCCCAGCACCCAAGGGATGACAAATGCCATTTAAATAGTGCTGAGATGATAAAATAATAAAATCATCCGTCGCCTCCGGGAAGACTGGGAAGGAAATGCACATTCGGTGTGGTTTCTGGAAGGAGGTGGGACGCTCCGCCTAGCTGAATTCTTAGCTGTGTGACTTGGAGCAACATATTGCATGTTTCGGAGCCTCAGCTTTTCTCATCTGTAAAGTGAGGGAGATGGATTAAAGTCGTCGTTAATTCCACGGGTGATTCTTAACACCGAGTGCCCTCTGTGGCTCAGGCACTGTGCGGGTGCCTGAGGACACAGCAGACACAGTCTCTGTCCCCACCAGCTGCCCCTCAGTGGCGCTGTCACTTCCTGGTCGTTTCCTGTCATTCCCTGCTGACAGTAGAGGTTGGCTTAGAACTTGCCCCACCTGGATCATCATTAATTCCTGGATTTAAATGTTCATGGGGTCTGCCCGTCTAAGAACGTAGCCCTC